ACCAAAACCCAAAATGGGAAAACAAAAACATACAACGGGGCAGTGAGCATTTTCCCATTTGTCATCTGACCTCAAAGTTCAAAGTTGGTGCTGGCACCAACACACAGAAATAACGATTTCATCAGCTGCCTAACAGACAGCAGGCACAAAATGGCCCTGGCCCTCTCCGACAAAGCCGGAGAACAGCTCCACCGAGTTGAAGTTAACAGGATGGAGCCTGCTTTTTTCTCTCTGTTGCCTCCTGCACAGCAGGCCTGTCCAGAGCTCAAAGGCCTACATCTTCAAGTCCAGCAGTACAGGGACTCAGGCTCACGCTTTGAGGCAAGCGAGGGTCTTGAGTAACTATGGGATCCTTTTTCTGCATGAAATTCAGTTCCAAGAAACACAATTCAAACTTTTGTTCATAAAGTAGGCTGCCCATGGTGGGGCATTTCTAGCAAGTCTTTTCTTATATTAGCATTTAAGAGACATTAGAGCACTTATTTTCTTAAACAACGAATGATATGTTTCTGAAAGGCCGGAGGCAAAACATCAGGGAGGCCTCGTATTGCAAACTCCGGAGTCCAGCTAGTTTCTTAAGCGTTATGCTTACGGGAGAACAGACGTTACTTCCTAAGTGGGGTGGAATCACTGCTCCTGGCCTCAAGATCCCCTGGGGAGCGTAATGCAATTCCGATGCCAGGGCTGCCACCTAGAATCTCTGGAGGTAGCACACAGGTGGCATTATTTTTTAAAGCTCCCCATGAAATCCCCAGCATGTTCCAACTGGCAGTCAGGTATGCAAGAAATACATTTTACCTCTTAAATACTTCATTTTAAATTCTATAAATTGTTTCGATAAGTTAACTTCATGTCTAGTGAGAGTCCCCGCTGCACTCAGCTTGCCATTCTCACAACTCTACCTCTCTACCTGCGTCCATCTCTCCAAGGCTTGTGGTACGGTTCTGGGGTCTGCAGGATTAGCTCAAACTAGTTTGCACGCCCTGCCCAGACATCAGGGAAACAGAAGCTTATGCAGCAACCCTGTGTTCAGGGATGTCCCGAGACCAAGCTGTAAGAGCTGGGACAGTCTGAAAGAAAGAGATATTTTTGCCTGGATATCCTGTACCCTGCAATCACTGTGCACTGCGAAGCTGCTCCGTGGCTCAGAGGTGGGGGTCTCACTCAGACCAGCTCCATCTTCTGCATGGAAGGCGGGGCCTAAACAGAACTGGCTCTCTTCCCAAAGGTATGCTGTGCCCTGCACTAATTCAGACTCTTCCATCTAGAACTATGCAACGTGCTGGTGAGGCTTTGAGGCCACCAAGCTACACATTTCTGTGCTGATCTCTTTCCATGGTGCACCCTGTGCTGCCTTTTCTGCATCCATTACACAAGCAGTCATGGTCTGATTTACCCAAGCGGTAACAGAGCCTGGTCTTCCCACCCGTCAGTGCCTTCTGCTGCCGTCTGTCAGTATAACGATGGCGCAAACCTAGAAACCCACTGGATGGAGACGAAAGACAAATTCTGCCTTTCTCTTGCACACAGTAGGTGCTCCATGGTGCTGATTAAACTAAGGACTCTCCTCATACAGGCATGCAGCCTCTAACAAAAGAAAGGTATCAGTATGGCTTGGACAAGACCTTCTGGTGACAAGGCACAGAAACCCAAATACAGTCGAGGAAAAAGGGGACAAATGCCAGGATGAAGGCGCATCTCCTGGAAACAAAGCACAGAAAGGATCTGGGACTCACAAGTCAGCACACAGTGGCTCCATCTCCCTCCTCCGTGGGACCCCCGACTTCACGCTGCTGTGTGTCTGTGCTGTGCTTCTTTCCTTCTCCCTCTGCAAATGGCCCACCGGAGTCACCCAGGAAGTGACCTCTGCTTATTTCCGGGAGAAACTTGAATGGCTCAGCTCAGGAGAAGTGGGGAGTGAACATATAGTTGGTATAACATCCTCATCGGGGGCCCCTGAAAAGACCCAGGGTCATGAGAACAAATGACAAAAACAAGCTCTGCTGAATGGCACGATACCCCAAGAAATTAGAATCCACGCATAAGTATTAGTTGTAACACCTTTATTTCAGGATGACTGGAGGATTGCGTTTCGTAGGTACACACCTAATTTATAGCTCCAAATCACAGCAATACTGAACCAAAAACACTTTACCCTTCACAAAAACTTGGCCGGAGAAATGCCCATTTGGATTCGAATCTACTTAAGTTTCACATTATGGAAGCGTACATATAAAAATACAAACACAATTGGAGGAGATAATAGATCAAAAATCAGCTGAAACCCCTGGTAGCAACATCTCATTTATCTTGAGGCCACAGATCTGACCCTGCAGTTGAGGATCCGGAAGCAAGTTCGAAGAAGGCAGAAGAGTCACCAACATCACGTCACCAAGTCAAGGCGGCAACACTCCTCGTTTAACTGCTCGAAAAGCCTTTCAAAGCCTCACTCGGATCCTGGCCACTGTTTCCTGACGCATGGCATGCAGGGACGCGGTTTTCTGGCTCCCACGCAGCAGATGAGAGGAAAGCTCCTGGAGGCAGGCAGGGTGCTGGCGGAGAGAAGCAGGTACAGGGAGGGAAAAGAACAGTGATCCCACCCGGCGCAGGACTCAGAGAGCAGAGCCCTGTGGGGCCGGTCAGCATAGGGGCTTTAACAAGGCTACATAGGGCCTGAAAGAATTCAAAACATAACTAACGACCCTGAAAAGGTTTCATTACCTTCAGTAAAGCCTAGTTTGCAAAAGCAGGGAAGTGTATACTACTAAGAAAGCGTTCCATGGAAATGGTCTAAATGAAGTCCAAGAGATGCACAAGTATAAAGAATAACCTTGAGTTGTCTATACAGTGCAGCCCGCAAGGTCTGATAAATGAGGTCTTACTACATATACACTACTTATATAAAAATGAATATAGCACCGTTTTTGTTTTATCCACATTTATATGAAACCATAAAAGCCCCTTCACAATAAAAGCACCTCAGTCATGCAGGGATAAGCTTAAGTCAGCTTCTCTCTGTGTAAGATGTTCATACTGGGCCACAAGTGATCAACTGTATTGATCCCTGGGCCCAATGGTCTGTCAAACTGTCTTCAATGATAGAAGACGCAGAACACCTGTGCCAGATCAGGTTCTCAAAATACGGCCTATGGCGCAGCCCCACTCAGTCTCCGGGGGAACTGGTCTGAAAATGCAGATCCCCGGGACCCAGCTGCAATGGCATGAATCAGAATCCCGCCTGGACACCGGCGCTTGTGCACCCCTCCCCAGGGACGGCCGGTACTAACGCAAGTCTAGGACTCGCTGGAGGGAACCCTCCCCTTGAAGGGTGGGCTCAGCAACCCAGTCAGGGGAGACTGACCAGGTCGGTGAATTAACGCTTTCCCGCCAACGTTCCTAATGTGCCCAGTACTAAGCGACTCCTGCTTTTGGTACTCCTCACACTAGATTACAGGTTAAAAGAAAAAAGTTAAATGGGGGCTTCTAAATGTTTTATCGCAGGAAAAGGATTCTGACATATAATAAAAATGAACTCTAACTAGCTCTAATTAATTTTTTAAAAAGCATGCGATTTCATTGATTTGATGAAGCCTGCAGCAGCAGATTCCTTCAGGAGAAAAGGGGAATGAGGGTAAGTGTCTGATACAAGTCCAGAGGGTTTGTGGGAAAGGGGAGGAAAACACACCCCAAAAGCAGGCTTGGAGGCGCGGCAGAAGGCAGCGTACATCTGGGATAGGGCAATGCACATCTATTAAATGTTGGCTGGGCTGTTTAGCCTGGTCCTTAACACTCCTGAAGAGAGGCTGGAAATGACTAGCAAACATGTTTTGTTGGGCGAGCACAACGTTTTTAAACAATTCCGAATTTCTCATCAACATGTAAAAATCAGATCTTTCCTTTTGTTTAGTTCTGGAAAATTGGAAATTGGAAAACTGGAAGAACTAGGAGCACCAGCCACACGGCACCCTGTGCCTGCGCATGGCGCCCCCCGGAGGCCGCCAGCCTGCTCCCCTCATCAGGTCACCTGCCAGACCCCTGCAGGCATCTGCCCGGGCCAGCCTGGCTTCAAGGAATTCAGGCAAAAATCGGCCTCTCTGTGCTTTACTATTTCTCTTTCTAACAAAAATTTTTACCACAAAGATTCTTTCCTACCTCAGAGGTGTTAAAAAAAAAAAAAGGAATCAGATAATGTTTACAAGTCACCTAGAATTCACTGTAGCATCTTTAGCTGCTCACTGGAATCACCTGGGGAGCTTTAGAAAGCACTGATGCTTGGGCTGCTCCTAGAGCTTCTGATTTACTAGCCTGGGGTGTACCCGGGGTGTTGACCCGGGGCTGGGATGGCACACAGCTCCCCAGGCGGTCCCGGGTTGAGAACTCCCTTCTGCAGAGGATGCGGGTTGTTGTGTAGGAAGGGTTAAGTTTATTCCAATTCAATCTCCAAGTACAAATTCCCTGCCTCTCACCTCTGTGATAATTTGCATCACCTTTTATTTCCGGAAGTGGGCAATTATTCCAGAAAACTACAAAATGCCATTTACAAACTGGTAAAGGAGGTCAAAGTGTGTTCCGGTTTCTACCATTCATTTTCCCTCCAACACAATTGAAGAATAACACACTAAGGAAATGAGGAGAAATTATCCCAAGAGACAAAACTCAGGCAGCACAAAGCGCTCAAATACAATAAGAGGCTCACAGTGGCAGGCTTCTATTAAAAAAAAAAAAATACAATTGCTTTGCAATTCATCAATGCACTAAGTGGAAAACTTTTCAAATATTAAAAAAAAAAAAGAAACAATTTCCCCAAGACTTTCATTAATGGCCCAATTTTTTTCTTAAGATGGATTCCAAATTTTTGCCTTTCTTCAAGCTTTCTGTTAGGTAATATGCATTTATAGTTTAGCTTCCAATCATGGAAAATGCAAACTATGTCATCTAATTTTCAAACAGTAATACTACTTTATATTACATGTGAAGAGTACATTTTCAAAATGGCTTCACATCATAAGAATAAGAATGGCTTCTATTTAATGGACTTCTACTATGTACCAGGAATGTTAGGCACTTTATATATATAGGGTCCAAAATTGGTCCCACAACCTCACAAAGTTAATTCGTTCACCCCATTTTACAATTTAAAAAAATGAGCTTTGTAAAGATTTAAAATTATGTTCTAGTGAGCTCCTGAGTGGAAGTGCTTGGATTCAAACCCGGGTCTGTCTGACTCCCGAATCTGTGCTTATCACACCAAATACCTTGTTTAATCATCACAACCCACAGCTAGTAAGATCTGTGCCTGATTAGCCCCACTTTCCCAGTGAAATAGAGGGGTTACGATCTGTTTCACATCTCAGAATGAGTTAGTCGGAGCCAAGATTATGCGTATATTCCTATTCTCCATCCCATGTATTCCCAGCAGACCATACACAGCTCACATGTTACATGATAAAAGCTGTACTGATGGCAGCTCTGCAGTACTCGTGGCTCTAACTCAAATGCTCCTGATTTCCAAGAATCTTCAACATTACTGCAAAGGTGGCTTCACTTGAACTCAGGTCTGGCACGTTCCTGTCTATTCCAGGCCACCCTGGGAAACAGGTGTCGGGTTTGATTCCTTCATTTTTCCCAGAATCCTCTCATGAATCCTATGACCAATGATACAAATAACATCAAGGCACAAACACCGGTCTCCAGGCCTGTCATTGGCTGCCAGGACATCATCACCGGGCAACGGCAGGACTTCGTGAAGAAGGGCGATATCACCTTCTATGGGTTTTCCCTTTATTTGTAAAATCGTAGAGTCTGTGCTATAAAATTCCAGCTAGAAGGACTCATCTCCATGAGTGTGGCTATTTGAGGCTGGCTCCCAAGGGAGAGTGTCATTTCATCTCCGGGCAGGAAGAGTCTCCTCTTCTGAAAGCTGCCGACAGATACTGCATCCTTGAGCCTGTATTTGGAAAACTGTGTCGTTGACATGTTGTGTCCGAGGAGAGATTCTGTAGCAAAAGCAGACACAACACAGCTCCCCTGCAAGAGAAAGCAAGCAGACTTGATCACCTCATAAACATGTCTCACCAGCCAATACTTGTTTGCCCTCCTTTCTGAGCGCCTCTTAAGGGTCATTGAGTTCTTTTCTACAGATAATTCTTGAAGAAATTGCATATCTGCCTCCTAATGATCTTGGAACAAAGCAAGCACCTCATTTTATTAAATTCAACTGCCTAAAGGAGCTGGTTCAAAGGGGAGTGAAGGTACAGCTGAAACTGAGGTCTTAATCATTCCGATGCGAAAGGACTCTGCCATGTTATCAAATCATACCACGCCCGGTCTCCCAACTGCCAGCGGCAAGAACAAACGCATGTCAGGGCTATTTGTTTTATTCAAAAATGACAGGAAATCAAAAATCTATCCAATGGATGTGTCAGCGGCAGCACCACAAGCGAATTGGTGAGTGAGATTTATGAACCTCCAGTTTGGCTCGTGACAAAAGTCACCTGCTAAGCTTTCTAATTGTCAAGGCCCCACTCAGATACACAGGCCAGTGGGTTCTGGGGCGTCACTCTAGGGCTAGGTACCACACACGACGTAGTTGCATTTTATGTGAATGCAAATTATGCAAAATTTTTTGACAGAGGAAGATAAATACCACATGATTCCACTTATGGAGAATATAAGAACAAAATAAACAAACCAAAGAAACAGGAACAGACTCATAAATTATGCAAATTTGAGACGTGGCATTACATAGAAATATTAAATGATGTCTCCTAATGCACATTTGTGCAAACCCTGCAGAATGATTTGCAAAAGTCTTAAACGGGCAGATGGGATGCATTGTCCACAGCACCTACACAACTGCTCCATCACACCGCTGCCTGACCTGCCCCACACAATGCCTATATTTCTAGGCCGCTGTCCACGTGCACTGGAACTTCACACATGAGCAGTTTTAACGATCACTGCTGCTGCTGTGTTAGCTTCATTGCTGTGTTCATTTTAATGCTTTGTTATGCCTTAAAATAGCATCAGCCGTGTGGTGATGCTGGAGCTAAGGCAGAGAACGTAAACTGTCACACCATTAACTTTGAAATAGAGGTAAGATGTGATCAAATGCTATATAAAAAAAAAAAGGCCAAGCCACCACGGCAAGGTGCACTGACGTTAATTGAGGAGAGAGCATGCTCTAACCCAGGGGACAGTAAATATTTTAGTCTTTGCATCTGTACAATGTCTATCATAGCAATTCACTCTTATTATTGGAGCTAGAACACAGCTGGGAGTAGAGCTGCGTTCCAATAAAACTTTATTTGCAAAAGTAGCCAGCAGGCCTGTGGGCTATAGCTGGCCGATCTCTGCTCTACAGCTCATTCCTTCCGCCTTTTCTTTAATTGTGGCATTTTACCGCTCATTAAATCAGTTCTCCCACTTAAACCACTCTCCTACTTTCTATGGAGCTAAAATTTTGAGAAAATAAAATGTTCCATTGAAACAGGCACATTTCAAGCTTGCAAAAAATCTTTGTAAAAATAGTCTAGAAAAGGGGTTAAAAACGGGAAGCAGTAAAAAGATAACACCATTCCAGTAGCATCAGGCCTCAAAATGTCCCATATCATGTGATCGGTGATGCTTGTACAACTGTATATATCTGTCAAAACTCGCCAAACTGTGCACTTGAAATGGGTCAATTTAATTGTACAGAGATAACACCTCGAAGAAGCTGATTTTGCAAAAAAGCTTAAAGCCTCAGCAATAGCCTCAAACTTGTCATAATTGTGGATTATATGCTAATGGTATATACCTATTACTTCCCATCTGCTCCTCTGAGAAAACTTGTCATAAATAATGAGAGTTTGAATTATGTAAATCTTTCAGGAGCTCCATTGCATTAAACGCACTAAATGCACGGGCCCTGCACTGAACTCCTGGTGGTATCCAGACCTCAACCACTTCACTTAAGAATAAATCACTTTTTAGAAACAACGTAAAGCCCTCAGTTCATGGCTCAGCTCTCAAAACACACTAAAACACAAACAAAAAAAGCAAGACTGTGGGTAATTTAAGATGGTAGGTAATGCTTGTTTAATGTCCTTATTTTCACTAGCAATACCCGAAATCAAAACTTTAAGTCGGTGATTTAAATCACAAGTTGGTGTGAGTCTCGTCTCCTTCCTGTTCAGCTGTCTTCGCTCCAGCGTGGAGCCTGTCAACATTCAAGGGTGGGGTGGGGGCTGGGGGAGGAAGGGGCAAGACGAGGCTGAGATACTAACATCAGGAGAAAGTCACACCTAATCATTTTTCTGATTAATCTGAAATCAGCGGCGAAGGAATACATGCCAACAGTTTCCAACTCCAGCTAATAGCTTGCAGTCTGTCTCCATTCAGAGATGAGAATTCATACAGCAGTGGTTCTCCAACGGTGGTCCCCGGACCGGGGGCAGCAGCAGCGCTGCCCAGGAACTTGTTAGAAACAAATCATCTCACTCCACCCAGACCCACTGAATCAGAAACTTGGGGCAGGGGGTGGACTCATCGGTCCATATTCAACAGGCCCTTCTGAGGATTCTGATGCTCCCTGAAGTTTCAAAATCAACTAATTTAAAATTTAAAAACCAAGATATACTCTTCCCGCGTAAGCGACCCTCTTCTCCTCATTTAACTCAGAGATGACTTCGGATCCCACGCTCCAGGGTGAGACAGAATCCCAAGGGCACGGATGCTGCACACTGGACGTGCCCAGTGAGCCCCGGCAATGCCAGCCTGGGGAAACAGGGACACGTGGCCGAGATCTGCTCCGCCGAGTGGAGGTAGAGGCACACAATATTTAGATTCCATGCCAACATTGGCTGAGCACCCGCTGTGCGCCGTGCCTGTGCTCAATGAAACTATGTTGTTACCCCTCTCCAGTAATAAACAACTACATCAGTGTGTGTTACGTATACAGAGGCTTAACATCAGTTAGAATGGAGTCGAACCTGCAAACAAGCGGAAACACTGTATAATTCTCAAATTCTCATTCATAGGCATGACCAGCTTGCTTTGGATGCTCAGGTACTTGCACATAAATGCTCCTCTTGCTTCTTTGGTTAATTCTCCTCAAACTGTATCATATATCACAATTAGTGTACCAAGTTGCTTATACAAAAACCATATGTACTATAGTTTTAAGCCAACATAAGCAAAACTTGAGGTAATTCAGAATTTCCCAAGACAATGTTTGCTCCCCTTAAAGGACTTCCCTTCTCTCAGATGTTAAAAATCGAAGTCCAATAAATTTTGTAAGAGGCAGATAACGCTATTCTCATTTATTTTAGGCTTTGATTCTCTCTTAAGTAATTTTGTTCCACCTTTTGCACTATTAAAAGACCATTGTGTAGACAATAAAACTCAGGGGGGAAAGTTTAAGTAATTCTGAAATACCCCTGCCATCTGTTAACCCTACATTATTTGTCCTGAACGGGAAGTGGCATGTGCTCCTGGGACAGTGCTCCCTCTTCCCTCCTGTGCCCACAGGAGACATTGCTAATCCATCCAGGTGCTCTTACCCAGAGTCTGAGAATTATTTTTGAGGCCCCAGAGCCCCTTCTCCATAGCCTTTCAGGCAGCCATCCCCAATCGATGGAAGTAGGTATAGCTGATAAAACATACTTATTGCGCTGGCCAGTCAACATGCCCCTTTCTGCAGCTCTAAACCCCTCCTTTCGTTGTTCTCAGAACAATAAAATTAAAGCTTCCATTTATCCTGACCTGCAGCCTCTACAAATCTATGCTACCTTGAGGGTTATAATCATGTTGGATTGTGCTGAGCGGTTTAAATAATTTGAATGCAGTTGTAACCCAGCACGTACTGCAAAACTGCTCTGAAACACACAAAAAACAAGTAAATAAAGGTACAGAACAGATGATGAAACACCTGTGCATATAACAGGGCTGCGTACAGCACGGATAGCCCGGGGCGGCAGATGCACAGCACCAGGCGCACAAGCACGGACCCGTGGCCTGAGTAAACAACTCTGGCTTGGCCCGTGGTACTCACTGATGGCTCCTTATTCAGCGGAGGGGGCACCACACTGCTCCTTCAGCAGCGTCTCCATTATTCTAATTCCCTGTGGAGAGAAGAGAGGAAAATCAAAACGCTGTGTTCACGGACAAGCGTTTCTACATTTATCACAACCGTTCCTCTTCAAGAAATCCACGTCATGACCACATATTCATTTCAGAAAAGTAGGCTCATAATCCCGCCGTACATTCTTCTAATCTTTTGCCCATCAATTTCACATTATCTCCACGTGTGCTCAGAACTACTTGGGAAAGCAGGGAATTTAGGATCTCCATTTTAACTGGAAGAAGACAGCCTAAGAGAAGTTAAGTAACCTCCTGAAAGTGGCCCAGCCACGAAGTGGCACTTCCAGAGCTGGAATAATAATGGTAATAGTTAACATTCACTGAACACTTACACATGTGCTACGTTCACTGCTAAGGTTTCATACACATTAGCCTGGGTAGTGTGAGCTGGGTGTACCAATGAGATCCGCTCTGGGACTCCATCACCCCTTCTGCCACCTGCCAGCACTGTCGGCTGCTGATGCCACACAGCCACCGTCTCAGCCAAAGACGGCCGACTTCCCCGAGAGCATGTGCGCTCTCCAGGGGCAGCCCACCTCCGGTGCCTGGTGGATGCAGGGATCTAAAGGCCTGGCCCCCTCTCCCCTCAGTTCGTAACAACACTGGGGGCATCCCGTCTCCAGCTGCCCATGGTGCCCGCTGAGACCTTCATCGCAGCTGTGTCACAGTTCAACGTCACCGGTGGCCTAATCCTGCTGTCCTCATCCTCCGAAACGGTTGTCCCTGGGCGTCCTCTTCGGCATCGCTCAGTGCCCAGACCTCCATCTCTCGGTGCATACCGACAGCTGAGCTGGGACACCTTGTTTAATCCACACAAAACCTTGAAAAAGTACTCTTCTTCCCCTCATCATACTGACGAGGCAACAGAAACTCAAAGAGGTTTAAATAATTTGCCCAAAGTTATACAGTTATTAAGTAACAAAGCAGGGAAAGAACACAGGCATTCTATTCTGTTTCAGGGCGATTAATCCCTTAACCTTCTCACGATGCTCACTCTACTGCTGTGCACTTCAAATGGCCTACCCACACACTGGGGCCAGTCAATTCTACTCTGGGGGAAACAGGAGAGCAGATATTCCCTTCTCCTTCCTTCGAGGACGAGTTCTGAAGACCGGAGGATAAACCCTCAGATGAAAAGGCAGGGATGTGATGTAATTATGAACCAGGTTCTTAAGGAAGTCAAGGCTGGATCCGTGGGCATGGGACACACGGTCCTCATAGACTGGAAAGTAGCTTAGAGAGAACACTAATGATCAAAGCTAATCTTCAGTGCAGGTTCCCAGACCCCTCCCAGGAAAACTGTGATTTCACGGGACTCAACTAATAAGCACCCAGATGATTTTCATGATCAGGTGGGACTCAGTGGGCCTAAAAGGAAGGGACTTTCGCTTTGGGCTTTCATCTGAGCCACAAGAACGGGATGCATCTCAAAGAGAAGACAAACTATACAGGGGTGGGAGTATGCAAAGCACAGAGTTTATTCTTCTATCATTATTTATTAATTATTGTTTTATTTATTTGTATTACAGCTGTAAACCTACAGTTTGCCCACCCCTGTGATTAGTAGCAAGGTACACTCAATAAAAGAACGTTTCCTTAAAGGCTTCAGAGAGTCCTTCAGATACTGGCTGGCCATTGCCACTGTTTCGGAAGGAGGAAATATTAAAGACCTTGACAGGCCTTGGCCAGGTGGCTCAGTCAATTGGAGCATCATCCCTTATACCAAAAGGCTGCGGGGTTCAATCCCCAGTTGGGGTACTTACAGAAGGCAACTGATTGATGTATCTCTCTTGTATCAATATTTCTCTCTCTCTCTCTCCACCCCCACCCCCGCCTTCCTCTCTCTCTCAAAAAATCAATAAACATATCCTTGGGTGAGGATTAAAAAAAAATTAAAAGAAAAGACAAAAAACGATCTTGACAGAATGCGGAGGAACATGGAGTGCTGGGTGAACCAAACCAGCAAACTGTAGGACAGGTGCACTGTCAGGAGACTTGGGCCACCGCTCTGCCCACTGCTCTCCTGGGTACCGTGCACTAGTCACTTTTCTCAAGAAGTAACCTAGACCAGAGAGCGCAGGGGATTGTGAGGCTGACTGGACAGTGCTCTCCACACACAGCTGCTCACGGAAATTCCTAGGAACCCACAAAAGCAAATACCGATTCCCAAGCCCTATCCAGAGCCACTCGAGCACAGCCTCCAGGGGCGGGGCCTGGAATCTGAAGTTGATTACATGCCTCGTGGCTCTGAAGCGCAACCCGTCCATTTGCTAGAATGTGTCAATGGCAGCCTGACATGGCTTCCAAGATCCCTTCCAACTCTGTCAGTCTGGGAAATGATGAAATAGTTCTCCTTAAACATATCTAAAGATGAAGTATGTACTGCAATTTTGTACTTTAGAGCTACTTTCCCTTTCAAAGAATCAGGAGCAAAAGGAGAGGAGCAGCAGGTAAAACAACCAATGGAATGGAATTTAACCTAAGACCAGAATTGTTCTCACATCTTCTCTCATTCATTCAACAGATCCACCTAACAAACATTTATGGTGCACCTACTATGTGCACGGGCAATAAATGGTGAACAAACAAGACAAAGTCCCTACCCTCATCTAGCTTATAGTCTAATGGATTTCCTTCCCCAGTTTCATTTTTTTGTTGTTGTTTCAAGAAACCCCTGGACAGTAATTAAATATCTTCCTTCAATTTTCAGGAAGATTGGAAAGTGCCATGTTCATTCTGTTTCAAGCTTCTTTTTGCAGAGTGGGCACTGAAATCAAGACGGTGTTTAAAGCCAGAGAAGCACCCCCTTTCCCTAGAAAAACTCCGCGAACTCTCCCCATCTGTCTAGATGAGGAACCCACCACCACTTCCCGAGCTGAACGTTAATTGACATACACGAAGATGTTGAGGTTTGGGAATTGAAAGACATTATTTATTGAATCAATTATGTTCACAATGTGACAGTTGATTTTTCTTTCCACTTCCCCCCTCCTCATATCACTTTAGTCTTTTTAAGCAGAACAGTTGATGATAAAGTGGAAAATGGGGCAGAGAGAGGGACCTATAAAGTGAAATTAAAAAAAAAAAAAAAGCAGCAGTTCTACCAGGGAGGCCAAACCATTATTTAGTACCTCTGTTTGGTAAAGAAAGACCAAATCAAAGCCCAGTCGATGGAGTCCTCTCAAATAAAGTTTAACCACTTAAAACTCAGCCCCCAGGAGACCAGGCTTAAAGGGACAAAATTGATACCACTTATCACACAATGAGGCCTGAAATGCAGAACAAACATCAAGTGGATAACACCTTTATAGATATGGCTTAAAAGCTTTTTGGGCTGACGAACCATAAAGCAGCTTGATTTTATTATTTCGTCCCCTCCCACCCCCGCCCCGGGGATTCTTCCTCTCTATTACAAGGCTGTCTTTCTGTTCTGTACTTGCCGACAGACACAGAAGCGAACTGTGTCGGTCTCATTTTCCTAATGCCAGGGCGGTGCAGGCCAAAGGAGGCCCAGCGTCTCCCAGATTCCAAACACTTCCCAAATTCCCCACCCTGGGAGTCTCCGATAGCTGAGCGCTACGGAAAATGAAAAGCTTGTCTCAAGAGGAGGGCGAATAGATTAGAACTAAAGGTAACAGATCCAGATAGCATATTTATTTTATCAACTTGATGTTTCCTTGAGAAACTCTAACTTACCTAAGAGGCCTTGAAGAGAATAACATTAGACCTTATGGAAATTACCAAGTTCTAAAGCAGTTCTCAAAAGACACACCGATGGAGGCTCTCTTAACAAAAGAGAGTTCCTCACTTAATTATCACCATGGTATTAGATGCATGTTAAAGACGCAGTGGAAATAATGCTTTCCTGCGGATCATGGCTTCGGAGGAAATACGAGGCAAAGCATCGGGGTCCTGGTGTGTAAGGGATGGACCGATGCCACAGAGGGCTGCCTGTGCTCAAGCGACATTAGTCTCTTGGGAGGAAACAGAGGAATGCAAAACAGCTGACATGCAAGACAGCCTCTGAGCACAGCTGCCATGTTTCAGAGAAAAAGTTCAGTGGGAGAAGTAAAGTAGAGACTAATCTTGTGGGACGGGAGGACTTGCAGGAGCCACTGGAAGAGGACGGATTTGAGTCTGACCCAAAGTCTGGTTATGAGTGTTCCATTCAGAGATGAAGGGAGAGACGGAGCAGAGGGAGGCTTAAGCAGAGGTATCGGGGTGGAAAAAACAGTGTCTGTGTGGTTAAGCAATTGCCTGCCTGAGGGGTGAGAGAGTGGACTGGAGGGGAGACGTTTCCAACCTCTCCACCCTCCCCGTCCCCCACCCTACACACACCTGTCCTCCTGTCTCAGCTCTGCTCCTTCCTGAAAGAGACAACGGCACGTAAAACACCCCAGTATTGCCACAAAGGGCACTGTGATTGTGCAATGACCCTATTAGAGAGATTGAGGGTTGAGTCCAAGGTTGTGCAACCTTGGGCATTTGGCTTAAATTCTCTCATCTTCAACTGCTTCATCTTTAAATGGAAACAATAATATGGGCTTGCCCTATGCATTAGTTAAACTCATGCATGATCTGGTTAGCACAGTACCTAGCTTCTGGTAAACACTCAGTACAGAAAGAGTGGCTCGTCATTCAAATCTCTTTAATGATCATCCAGGGGTGCCCAACCCTTTGGGATCTCTGGGCCACACTGGAAGAAGAGTTGTCTTGGGCCACACAAAAAATACATTGTGACACATAATCACACAAAAAAGTCTCCCGTTTTAAGTAAATTCATGATTTTTTGTTGGGCCGCAGGTTGGACATCCCATTCTAATCCCACTAGAAAGGGGTTGTGTGTGCTCTGGAAGAGCGATGCCTGGGACACAGACGGCGTGCAGTAAATGTCGGCTCAATGAATGAATCAATCAACCAATGAATCATCAGCTTACAGATGTACCACATTAGATGATAAAATGCTCAGAGGCAGGAAACA